TTATAATTGGGGACTTTAAATGTCTTAAATCACCAGCCTGTGAGGCAGCCACAGCCTTTAACTTCCTATATGGCCCTGAAGTCTTTAAATTCTGCTTTTCTAGCCCTGCAGAGTTTTTCTGATTCTGCCTGCTCCCTATCAAATTGCCATGCTCATTCTTTGTCAACTGTTCCAAAGCACTGAGGTTCCAGCTGCTTTCATGGGAGATGAGTGTGAACTTGAGCAGAGCTCACCTGTAGCTATAAATCTTTGTGTAGCTATACAGCAATAAAAATTTGGAAATAATTTCTGCACAGCATAAATACAGTGGTCTAATGTGTCAGGATTATCACCACTCAATGCCAGGTGACAAAATAATGTTACACCTGAATAGTTTCTGTTTAAGTAACAGGTTGTTCTCTCACTGCACAGTTGGTGCCTCGTGGAGTCTTTGGATTCTGCATGGTGGGGGCTGAGGGTATTTGGATTAATTAATATTTAAAATGTCCTATGCCCCTGGTTCCAGCCTCAGATCCCCAAAACCATGACAATGAAGGTGGTCACTGGAACAAATAACACTGAATTCCAGTATGGATGAGGAACCACAGATAGGGATGGGGAACTTGGAGGCTTCCATTCTGTGCACAGGTCATGCAAAGCAGGGGCTTGGGGCACGTGGCTGCTGACAGAATGAGGAGGGGACTTCACTGTTCACTCTAAGGGACTGAGGACACCTAGAGAAGGCTACATTTGTTTGGAGGGATTGACAGACTTCACTGGTTCTCTGCCTTCCCTTTTACTTCTTGGAAAGGTCATCAGAAAAGCCTTTCCAAACTTCCAAGCATGGTGGTAAGGTCCTCAGTGTGGAAGGGTAAAATAGAGTGCTTTTGTTGCAAAGTTGCTCTTAGGAAATCATGGAATTGTTTAGGTTGGAAGAGACCTTCAAGATCATCAAGTCCAACCATTAACCCAGCACTGCCAGGTCCCCACTGCCCCGTGTCCCTCACCCCACATCTCCACAGCTTGGAAACCCCTCCAGGGGTGGGGACTCCACCACTGCCCTGGGCAGCCTGCTCCACTGTTTGACAACCCTTTTGGAGAAGAAAGTTTTGCCTAATATCCAACCCAGGCCTCCCCTGGCACAACTTAAGGCCATTTCTCATGCTCTCTTGTTCCTTGTGAGAAGAGACCAACCCCCACCTGGCTCCAACCTCCTGTCAGGGAGCTGTGGAGAAGCAGAAGGTCTCCTCTCAGCAGGGAGACCAGTTATCTTCTGCTTCTAAATTGTTCCTACTCCCAGCTAAACCTGTGGCTTGCCAACTGACTTCTGTGTAATTTGTGGCCCATTTCCTCACTTTCCCAGTTCCCTTTTCATCTGGCCTTCTCCTGCCCCCTTTTAACTGGCTGCCTCTGTTGACCCTGTTTCCTAAATCACTAATGACTGCCACTTCTGAGCACATACTTCATCTCCTCCAGACTGAAGGATTCATTCTCCATGGGTCTATACATTTACTCTGTTCTTCAGCAGTCACAGAAATTAATCCCTTGGCCAGGTTTTATGAATGGTGTTCCACATTTATTACATATTATGACCTTACTGGATGATATCAAGTCAAGTCTGGGGATCTCTCTTTAGTTCTGTCCAGCAGTATCTTTCTTCTCTAATGAACAACGTGTTGCAGTATACAGACACTTGCAATTTGTATCCTTTTTTTTGTGTGTTTAAAATAAGATCATGATTAAAGTTTTGTATCATGATTAAAGATGGTGAAGAGGAGAGTTCATTGACTTTTCAACCCTGGAATCACCCAAACACTGCTTTACATGGCAAATAAAATCCCTGGTGGGTTTCACACCAGTCTTTAGCAGTGCCTATCACAATGTTGCTGTTGGGAAAACATGGATTTATTAAGGCAGTATTTTTAAAAATTGGCTCCAGCACCACACAGCTGGCAACAAGGGGAAAATAATCTCAGGCAGCATGTAAAAAAACAACTTCTCTGGTTTTCTAGAGAATTTTCTAGACTGTGAATTTAACTGCCTCCAGTAGACCACCCTATGACACTGATGGCAAACATGTAAAGCCTGGTTGTTTCCAAAGCCAGATAAATAAAATGTAGATGTTGAAATGCCAACCTCCCACTATTCACCTCCAGCATTTTCTTTTCCTCTCTTACTGCTTATTTTGCTTTTATTTTCCCCCTGGTGTCCTTCCTCTCACTAATGTTTTCCCTTCAGTACCACCCCCTCTTTCTTCTCAGAACCGAGTGGAGCTTTCAGCTTCGTGGCAGAATAGGAGCCAGCAGACAGTGAAAAGAACTTGGGTGGCAAATTCTGTGGGCACACCAGGCACCCAAGAGCAGCACAGGTTACTGGTGTGTGCACAAATTCATGTGCCTGGTACCAACCTGAGCCAACCAGTGATAACTGGGATGGTAATTCTCTGAAGTCTGAGCTTAGCTCACTCTGTTTTGTTGTGTTACTCGTAGCCAGTAGTTTTACTACTTGGAACTGTTCTAAGATCACAGAACCCACAGGTTTGGGTTGGAAGAGACCTTTCAAGGTCATCTAGTTCCATTCCCCCCAGAGTGAGCAGAGACATCTGCAACTAGAGCAGGTTGCTCAGAGCCCCAGCCTGGGATGGTTCCAGGGATGGGGCAGCGACCTCCTCTCTGGGCAGCCTGGGCCAGGGGCTCACCACCCTCAGTGTCAAACATTCCCCCTTCTCTCTAGCCTAAATCTCCCTCTTTTAGTTTAAAACCATCACCCCTTGTCCTGCTAAGTCTGTCCCCATATTTCCTGTAGGTCCCTTTGGGTACTAGAAGGCCACAATAAGGTCTCCATGGAGCCTTCTCTTCTCCAGGCTGCAGAACCCAAACTCTCTCAGCCTGGCCTCACAGCAGAGGGGTTCCAGCCCTCAGACCATTTTTGTGGCCCTCAAAGATCTTCATTCAATCTTTCACCTCCTCTTAAGCCCTATTTATTTAAAAGAAAATCACAGAAAATAATACCTGGGGAGGTACAAAACATAACTGGGATGAAGAAGCTTCCAGACTCCATCAATACATTTGTTGATTTTGAGCAGGATGATGTAGAATTGCTTCAAGCATATATGAAAATAAGGGACAAATCTTCTACCTGAAAGCAACAATAACAACTTGTTTTGAGCTGCTACAGTCAACCATTGTTACACCCTCACACTGAATCCCACTGAAGGGGGCTAACAAAAGAAAAGGAAATGCCAGTTTTTTGCCTTGAGACCTGTGGGCATCTTTAGGAGGCCAGGACAAGCCCTGAGCTTCTGCTAAGAGCAGCTGGTGGCAGCACATCACCCCAAGTGCTCTCTGCTCTCACTGAAGCTTCCCAGACAAGGCCCTGGAGAGAGCCTCACTCTTTGAAGGCCAGGAGAAAGATGTCTAAACAACTGAGTAGCTTTCTGAGGCATCTCTTCTTGTCATTTTTGGACAGGTTACTCATTACTCAGAAAAGAATGAACCATGAGAATAGAAAAAAACAGTAGACTAATGAACCCAGATCACTGAAAAACCCAACCTCTCACTCCTCTTGTCTTGAACTAAAGAAGTTCCTGGTTTACAACCTACATTCTCTAAAGGATATTCACTAAAGGCAGTGCTGGTGTGAGGACAAGGCTGTTTTAACAAATCCTGAGCAGAGGCAGCTCAAATGCAGCTGTCTGGCATGAAAGTGCCATGAAAGAGAAGCCCAGAAGTGTCGTGCTGTGGGCCAGACCTGGTTCTGCCAGGCCCCTGGTCTCACACTTCAGATGATCTGCAGTGCAAGGTGAGGTGGGATGCTGCTTGAGGATCCCTGCAGCTCCTGCTGCCAGTCCCTCTCTCCTTGAAATTATCTTCCAAAACACACCAAACCATCTGTCAGCATGGAGACACACTTCTGGTTCTCATTTGTCATTTCTTTGGCTGTTTGGATCAGTGACAAATTCTTGCAAACATCTGTTGTTGGAGCTACTTGGTGTGAGATGCACTACCAATTTATCACTGAAATTTATTTTCCTTACTCAAAATTAAGCCAGTTGGTCAGAGTTTCACAAAACTGGAATTAACTTTCCTTCTGAGAACAGAAATGATCCCTTTTAAAAATGTTTTTATTGCCTCAGTACTGAATGTTACCAAAAAAAAAAGGTTTTCCACAGCAGAACACACCAAGAACAGAGATGAGTGGAAACCAAACAAATCAGAAAGCAAATTATCTATGAAACTACTTTTTCAATGCAACAGGGAACAGTAATATGAGTTTAGAAACAGCTTTTCCTGCTCTGGACAATGCAGAACTTTGTTTTCTCTACTTGAGCTCCTGACATAGGTCAAAGTGTTGCACTACACTGAGATTTCAATTCTTCTCCTCCCAGAGGGACATGAACATTTTCCCAAATATCATTTACTTTGTTGGAATAGAAAAAAACAGCCCTGAGAAAGACTGCAACTGACTCTGCCTTGCCAAGGCAATAGCTGTGCAATGTGCTCTCTTCAGGTGCTGAGAGAAAGAAAAGGAGAACCTGGAACATAAAAGTGCAGATTCCAAACCACGAAGACTTCTTGCATCTCTATTCCAATTGGTTTGTGCTGACTTCCAAAAGCATAACTTGTCCAGGAACACAGCAACCATGAGCACCTTACTCAAGTTCTTCAGCACAACCCCACAAATCTCATGTTCTGTCAGGATTTCTTCTTGTAATGCCTCTGCAGACAGGGATTCTGAAGAGACAACCCATACCTTTATCTTTTAGTCCATGCTAACATTTGAAACAATACCTTCCTGTACCTTTGATGCCAAATGAAACCAAAGCACAGCCAAAGTTACCTAAATTCCTGGGTGTGCAGCCATCTCTTTGGCACCACAATTCCTCTGATGTCAGCACTTGTTTATAGGTTCAGATGTTTATAGGCTGGCAAATTCTCCTTGTGAGGAGCTGTTCACAGGCTAGTATAGCTTACAATGTCAAAATCATCCTTTTTCTTCCCTGTTCAGTATTTCTTTTCCTGTTATGAGATAATTGACATTTCTTCCCTCTCTCTGCTCTCATTTATTAAGGTGATCATGCTTCTGAAGTACTTCATAAATTCCATCCGAACATCTTCAGGATCTTCTTCTAAGTTGGAGTGTATCAGTTTTAGCTTGTTCAGTGGGTGGGCTTTGAAGGTAAAGAAAAAATAATTAGCTTTATTCCTTTTACAAAAGAAATGGTCACAATCAAGACCATGGGAGAGCTCACACTGAAGTCTGTTGGAATTTGATACCCCAGGCAACAGAGAACACATCAACCAGAAATGCCTCAGAGCTTGTTGGTGACACAGACCAGCACAACTTGGTGCTTTGGTAAAGTCTTCAAAGATTATTTTTAAAGTTTTAAAGCTTTTTAAAGTTCTAAAGCTTTAAAATTAGAAGTACTGGGTTTGGTCTTACATTCAGTTAGGCAGAGGCAAACAATTCAGCACTGAATTGCTGTTTTACTATTGAAGTGATATCCCATTCTTTGATTACTTCATATTATGTGATGATTCTACTACATTAAATATGTATTAATATATGAATACTTATAAGAAATATGTATTTCTTGGAAGACTGGAACATGCTCAGAAGGAGTGTGTATTCCCATTTGTATAAACAGTCACAAATAATTTTGCAGTATATAAGGTACCTGTTAATAATTTCAAAAGGAAGATTGTTCCTTTTATTTCCAAGGGCTCCTATTCTTTTGATTGATAAAATGCAAGCTTCAATGCCTCAAAAGTGTCAGTCAACAAAGGAAAAAATTCAACATAAGAAACAAACTACTAGTGATGAAGAAATAGGGCAGTTCTAATTCCTGGTGGGACCTTAGAGAAGTCACCCAAACCTTCCTGGCTTTTTCCTTCTGTGGAACAGGAACAGTGATCACCTTCTAGGTCACCTTTCAAATTCATTATTTCTGGTTTTGCAACACACTCTAGTATTCTTTGACTGGCAGATTTAGATGAAAAAACTCAAGCCAGAAGGTAGGAACCATTTTAAAGAGACACAGAGCAATAAAAACCTCTGAGTTACAGATGGAGTTTCCATCTTCTTACCCAAGGCCAGATTTTCTGTGTCCTCTGCACTGCCTGGCTTGTGATGTGCCACCAGGAGACACTGAGTGTCCAGCAGTGACTGCTGCTGCACAAAACAGGAGTACCACATCTCAATCTCCTTCAGGTGACCCTGCAGCTCAGGATTGAAGACTATTATCACACCATGAGAGTCCTTCATCAGAGCTGGCCAGCATGTTTCAAACCTTCAAAAACAGATGCATGGAAAACACAAGGCTGAGAGCTGGAAAACACAAATGTGCACTCAAACTTCCTCAGGTTTTCTTCTTCCCTCCTCATGAACATATTTCAGCACTTCTTCTTTATTGTAAGCTGAGTAATCTTGCCAGTGACCTGACAGATTCCACATATTTTGACTTACCTCTTAGCTGGTCCCACAGTTTGCTGACAATGTCCTATTGGGTCATATGCTTATTTAAACTTTTTCCCTAAAAAGGGATCTGTCTAGTTCTCAACCATATCTTTGAGAAATTAAGGCCTTGCTCATCTATACACATTGTCTGAAATATACTCAGGTATTAACTTCAAGGAGATAAAGGTATTTATGGAGTGAGCCTGTCCCCTGCACCTGTAACTCTATTCTAGGAGTTATGGACTTTACTGTTGCATTCAGTCCTTACCCAAAAGAAAACTCAGTGTCAGCTGGGATCATGACAGAGAGTACCTAGTATCAGATGCTTTACAGCAGAATGCTATAGAAAAATATAATGTAAAGAGGTGAGAATATTCCTCATCTCAAAAAGGTTTTAGGCTTTAATTCTGAAGAGCCTACTGCAGTAGGAGTTTGCAATAGTCTGTGCAAACAGAACCACTATGAATTAAGTAATTTGGAGGAAGGAACAACGATGCTGCCATACTTCTGATCACCACTGCAATCCCACAGCTCAAATCGACACGCAGCTCCCTTGCTGTTACTGTTCAAGTTTGGGTTCTCATACTCCAGGATCCTGCGAAAAGGAGCAGATACACAATGGGACGTCATTCCACACGCCACCACAGCCAGCGGGCGGGAGCTCAGGGGGCTGGGTCAGCCAAGATACCAGCAGGTTTCGTCCCCACCCGGCGTGGGGCTGTAGCTGCCAATCCCTTCGATGCTCTCCGAAACAAAGTTTGCCAGCACCGATTTTCCGGACTGGAAGAGAGCAGGAGTGAAAGACAAGGGGAAGGGCGAAGGGGGAAGAGGGAAGGGAGGCGCCCTGCTCTC